TTTTGGGTTGATGAACACGGGACCTGGAACACCAATTCGCATTATGAAGAATCTTCGTGTTTGTGAGGACTGCCATGCTGCTTTCAAACTTATATCAGCAATTGTTAATAGAGAGATAGTCGTGCGTGACCGGAACCGCTTCCATTGTTTCAAAGATGGTTCTTGTTCCTGCAGGGATTACTGGTAAGAGGATCTAGACTCCTAGTGCTAACATCATTTTCAAAGATATTGAATTTTAGATTATATGCAACACATTTCAGTTTCAAAGCATGCTTGCATCTCTGGTTCCAAGTTATGATAAATAAACAAACTATTTAATTGCACAAGACTAAAATCTGCCTTTTAAGTTATTCAAACTAAATAACTATGCTGCTACATCTTCTTCATCATCATCGAAACTAGAAAACTCAGCTAAGATTTGCAAAATTAAATGGGCATTTATTCTAAGAGGATTTTGACGAATCTCAAAAAACTGGACACCCTTTGGTCACTATCCCTGGTGCTGTGGGGCACTTAGCCAATGGACAATGGTCATCTTGGTCCAGACCCCACCACTTTGGTCCCATAATATTCTTGGATTGGAGGGCGAAATATAGGATAACAGCAGTAAAGGCCACTCCAGCATCCAAAGCAGCTGATAGGATATAGTTATGCCTAGCCCACCACTCCTTGTACCTTCTGTAAACAAAGAAGTTGAAGAAAATTCCAACTGCAAACCATGACGAATAGTTTACAGCTTTAGCTGGTGGCATCATACTTGTTGATCCAAGGATTACAGGCATATTTATGTGCCTAATCCACTTTTTGTTGGGGAATTTTTTATGGAGCAGCCAACCGGGAATGGGTGACAAAAGGCCGATGAGGAAGAACCAGTTCAACTCTGGGTAGATTCCTTTGCTAGTGAACATTCTGAGTGGCCCTATGACTCCCCATATGATCGAAGCATTGTAGAACACATCATCACCAGGACATGTCCATGGACTCCCCTCTGGCAACTTTGCCGGATTGCAGATGTTCTCGACAGTTGTCAGAAGCCACCAAGATGTGGCAAAGTAGGCACTTGTAGCTGCCAGTGTTCCAGCTAACTGAACATACAAAAAGGGAAAATTGCATGTGTATGTTCCATTATATCGGACATAAGAAAAACAACTGAAACAAATGGTGACAAATGGAGTTTTCTTGATAATTACCTGCACAAAAAACATGTCCTTAGGAGGGATCTTCATATAGTGACCTAATTTAAAGTCACCAAGAAACATGAGTGCTTGTGACATGCTGATATATCCATAGGTCTTGAAAGCCACATTAGCAAGAGGCTTCCCTGGGTACATATACCCGATAATTAGCTCTGTAATTATGTTGAGGCCTGGTTGCTGCACGATAAATATTGAAATGAAAAATGAAAAATTACTATGAGTCTTTAAAACAGAATTATGCCGAATACTGAACATATAGTAGATATTCGTAGGCGTATTCATGTATGTACATATATGTTTTCAATCTAACAAAAGAGTATGTACGATACGATTGTATATAAATGAAATGATCAAAATCATACCATGTTTGTTGTGGCAAGAATAACCCCGATGGGTAAGGTGAAAGATAGTGCAATGGCACAAGCTAGTAAAACTCCCCACCATGGAAGTTGGAGCTGTTTGCCGAAACCTTCACAAGTATAGATGGCAAGAGCAACCATTACAACAAGGATGGTTTGGAACCACCATTCAGGGACTGATTCATAGTTCCTCTTCATTAGTCTCGTGTGGATGTCTCCAACCTGATTCTTCATTGCACCAGTCGTCTTCTTCCACAGTTGCCATATTTCTCTGTTCATGATGCATCATGCCACACAAAGAGTTTAGGAAATTAGATTGTCATCCTTAAATAAGATTCATTCTATTATATATCAAGTCCGGTGTTGGATTAGGTTTTGATTTCGGTCACTTGATACTAATGTACATACGTTTAACATAGGACTTGGGACTCGAGATTCAGGATTCGGGAGTGAATGTAGTAAACCGTAAAAATCTTATCGAAACTCCAGCACCCGAAAAACTTACTTTCCATAAAAGAGGGCAACATGTGAAATAGTAGCTGTGAGAGTGGCAAAGCCCCATCCATAGCCGTAGGCAAAGTAGACACTGAGGTAGAGTTTACTATAACTGTTATACTCCTTCAAATTCATATCGAAAGCTTTCTCATCCAAAATTCGACTGACGTTGTAGGTTTGGCCATCATGGTCAAAAGTGTGAGAGGAAAATATTGGGAACCTCTTAGCATCATATGCATTGGTCCAATAGGCAATGGGGGTAACAATGTAAAAGATCACAATAAAACCAATCAACATGTTAATGACTGCAACATCAGGATAGGCTAAGGGGCTGGTCAAGAAGGCAGCAATGGTGGACCAATCAAGGGCAAAAGAGCCAATTCCAAGGCCCTTGAGCCCTGAACCAATCTGCTGTGCTGTGACTGAGTCCTTCCAAATCCAGCAAACTAAGGAGAGAGCTGTTATGGAGGGGAAGAAGAAACTTGGGATAATGTAGTAAGCAAAGCTGCTTACGAAAATAATGATGAAGAACTGCATCTTTGTACGGCCTCCTCTGCGTCTCTTTTCCTTTTCATGCAATGCCCTGCCATTAATGCACATTATAAACTAACTAATTAATTAATTAATTTGGTGGTTCACAATTATACACAAGACAAGAAAGAGAAATAAACATGAAGAAAAGAAAACATTGATGAATTATTCTTTTTAATATAAGCGATATTGGTGGAGAGGGAATTGAAAACACCGGACCTCAGGTGCAGGATGAGTAATTATAATGTAGTACGGTATTAAAGACTGAATTAGCTAAAATTGTTTCAATTTGACAAATTAAATTAAAGTACCTGAATAGAGAGACTTGAACCAAATTACCGGGCCACCACATGTAAGGGGAGTCAACAAGGTATCTTCTGAATAATCCAGCCCATCCATATCCAAGCATCTGAAAAGATTCCATACACACAAAAATTTATGTGAGACTGACTGTTTTTGTCACAAACGTAATAATGTTGAGTGACAGAATAATTCAAATAAAAGATGGCAGGTTTTGAAGAAATAAAGACTGGTAATGTAAATGCATGTTATCTTTTTCACTACAGTGTCAGTGCTATCGTGCAGTGAATGACTATCAACCGTTAATGCATTGTGAACCAACTTGCATCAGCAACCATCCACTTGCTTGTGCGCAGGCAATTGTCCTTAGCATTTCTCCCGAATGTAAATTTTTTACCTGAGTGGTGTGAGCTAACAAGAAGGCTGCCATAACATGAATACTTCTGTGGTAGTAAGCCTTGACAATTGTGATGATGTTGACTGCATAAACACTGTTGGATCCAGAGTTTGCAAATATGGTGATCAAAACGTGCTCCTTCATACTGAAAGGCCCCGGATTGAATGAGAAGGACCATTTTGTGAAGGGGACTGAAAATTGTGTTGTTGGAAGGACCGCAGCCATCAACTTGCCCAGCGGGAGGACCAAAATTTGGGCAGACACTGAAGAAATGAAGAGCTGATTTTGGCGGTACCCAAAAAACTGGTTGACAAAAGCAAGAGTGGTGCATGATAATAGGCCAAGCACCCATGTTCGAAATGTAATGGTTGGCTCTGATGGGTCATCTGTGATTGGAACTGTTAGCCTAACTTGCTCAATTGGGTTGTCGTCCACTTCATCATCTGTTTTTGCATCAACAAATGTTTGACAACATCAGTTAATTAATTGTAGATTTGATTGATAAAGTGTTGAATTTCTGGAAAATAGAAAGCTAAAATGATAGCTTAAGATTTCAGAGAGACAAATCAATGGACTACTAGATAGTGTTTTTAACTTAGTCACCAACATAGTTGTGTGACGTTTGATCACAAGATGTTTCGGTGTTATTTTCAGTGGATTCACTCTTATCATTACGATGATATATAGAATGAAAATAAGAACATTTTCTAAGTAATTGTTTGGGGTGTGCGACAATAACACTGTCACCTAGTGTTACATTTCACACAAATGTTTGCTTTTAGTGCTTTTCTGCATAAACGTTTGCTAGGGGGACTTACCAATGACATGGATCTTGGAATGAGACTTGGTTTCACCGTCGCCATCTTCGTAGACTGTCATCTTTCTTTGCCTCCTTTTACTCTCTCTCAAAGAATACCATTAATGTGCATGCTAGGCTTCTGCAAAGAACAAGCTTGCAATGATATAGACTCCGCTCTACAAATAAAGCAAACGCGCAATTCTCAAAACTTTAATTTTCTCAAGAAGAACGGAGTTTATTTGAAACACATTTATTGACCATCTTACTGACCTGAGACTTGGTTTCACCGTCGCCATCTTCGTAGACCGTCATCTTTCTTTGCCTCCTTTTACTCTCTCTCAAAGAATACCATTAATGTGCATGCTAGGCTTCTGCAAAGAACAAGCTTGCAGTAATATAGACTCCACTCTACAAATAAAGCAAACGCGCAATTCTTAAAACTTTTCTTTTCTCAAGAAGAACGAAGTTTATTCGAAACACATTTATTGACCATCTTACTGACTCCTTCTTATACAAAACTAATGTAATTCAAGTCCCACTTTTAATGGAGATTTCGAACAAAAAAGAAAGAATGTGGTCCAAAAAGCAATGCTCTTTCAAGAAACCAGTTTTTAGGGCCTAAACTCTAGTGCAATGGAGTACTGGTCAAAGACACAAAAATCTAAATTTGGAAATATTTATGTGATGTGGGAAATCCTTAATATGCATCTAGTTGGCGAGTTTTGACATGAAGTACAATTAGCATTAGTGACGTCAGCATATATATATTTGCATCTAAATTTGTTTTCTTTGTATGGAACTTTATAGCGAATGTGAATGGCTTGGTGGCTTGATATATGATAATGTTATTTATTAAAGATTATATGCCACTTATTTCAGTATTAAAGCATGTTTTCATAGACTAGTTTTCAAATTATGCAAAGTACTAAATAAATTATTACATTTTGACTAAAATCTGAGTCTGCAGCTTCAAGGTAATACAAACTAATTAATCAACTGTACAGCTTCATATCCATTACCACCAATCAGCCAGAACTGGGCTAACTATATATGATTTGCACAGGCACATGTGAATTACATTAATCTCAGAGAACTGGACAGCCTTTGGCAACTATACCCGGTGCCGTGGGACACGTGGCGAGCGGGCAATGGTCATCAGCTTGTAGGCCCCACCAGTTTGGACCCATGATATCCTTGGATTGGAGGATGAAATATAGCAGAACTGCTGTGAAGGCCACACCAGCATCCAAAGCAGCAGAGAGGATATAGTTGTGCCTAGCCCACCAGCCCTTGTACTTTCTAAACACATAAAAGTTGAAGAAAATCCCAACTGTAAGCCATGTCAAATAGTTCACAGCCCTAGCAGGAGGCATGTAACCTGTGGCTCCAAGTATAATGGGCATGTTTATGAGCTTGATCCACCTTTGGTTGGGAAATTGTTTAGAGAGCAGCCAAACAGGGACAGGTGCCAATAAGCCAATGAGGAAGAACCAGTTGAGCTCTGGGTAGACTCCTTTGTCAGTGAACATTCTGAGGGGCCCAATGACACCCCAAATGATTGATGCATTGTAGAACACATCATCACCAGGACATGTCCATGGACTTCCCACTGGCAGCTTTGATGGATCACAGATGTGCTCAATGGTTGTGAGAAGCCACCAAGATGTGCCAAAGTAGACACTTGAAGCAACTATTGTTCCAACTAACTGAAGATTATTGCAAAAAAAAAAAAAAAAAGGAGGGGGAATAGAAATGAGTGGATAATTTTGTCAGAAATATGAACAGAAATTGATATGAGGTTATGTAATTCATTACCTGCACAACAAACATGGACTTAGGAGGGATCTTCATGTAGTGTCCTAATTTGAAGTCCTGAAGAAACATAAGTCCTTGTGACATGCTGATATATCCATAGGTCTTGAAAGCCACATTAGCAAGAGGCTTTCCTGGGTAAATGTATCCGATAATTAACTCTGTGATCACGTTAAGCCCCGGTTGCTGCAGAGTTTGTATAATTAAATGAGAAATTGCAACTTAATGTGAACCGCTTTGAAGGAAATGTGTAACAAATTGTTCAGATTTAATGTTTTCTTGACCATATACCTGGTTTGTGGTGGCTTGAATGATGCCGATGGGTAAGGTGAAAAATAGTGCAATTCCACAAGCCATTAAAACTCCCCACCATGGAAGTTGGAGCTGTTTGCCAAAACCTTCACAGCAAAAGATAGCAAGAGCAACCATTAAAACAAGGATGATGTGAAACCACCATTGGGGCACTGCTTCATAGTTCTTCTTCATCAGCCTGGTGTGGATATCTCCAACCTGATCTCTCACTGCACTAGTTGTCTTTTTCCACATCTGCCAGATTGTTCTGCTCATGTATGTCACCAGAAGCAAGAAAGACAATGAAGAATTTATTAGCTCTAAAGAAATATTGCTCAGTTTACAGTTAAAAACTGATGTCAAAAAGGCTTACCTTCCATGGAAGAGAGCAACATGGGAAATAGTAGCTGTCAAAGTGGCAAAGCTCAACCCATAAGTGAAGGCAAAGAAGGTACTGAGATAGAGCTTGCTGTAACCGTTGTACCTAACCATATTAATGTCGAAATTTTGCTGATCCAGAACCGTGGAAATGTTATAGATCTGGCCAGTGGAGTCAAAAGTGTGTGACGAAAAGATTGGAAACTTCTTAGCTTCATAGGCGTTGTTCCAATAAGCAATGGGGGTGACAACGTAAACAATCAAGACAAAACCAATTAAGATGTTAATGGTAGCAAATCCGGGTGTGGCTAATGGACTGCCTAAGAAGCCAGCAACAGTGGCCCAATCAAAGCCGAAGGAGCCTATGCCAAGGCCATGCATGCCGGAACCAATCTGTTGGGCAGTGATGGAGTCCTTCCATATCCAGCAAACAAAGGAGAAAGCAGAAATGGAGGGGAAAAGAAAACTTGGAACAATGTAGTAAGAAAAGCTGCATATGAAAACCATGAAGAAGAACTGCAGCCTAGTGCGGCCTCCCTTCGGTCTCTTTTCCTTTTCGTGCAATGCCCTGTCATTAAAATTATAAATTTGCTCAACAATTATAGAAAAAAAATAAAGAAATGATTTTCAATTTGAAGTGGGTGCTAAATTCATTCAATATGACAGATAGGAAAGAGGGTGGAAATAAAATACCTGAAAAGAGAGACCTGAACCAGATTTGAAGGCCACCACATGTAAGGAGAGTCAACAAGATATTTTCTGAAAATGCCAGCCCATCCATACCCAAGCATCTGCAAAATTTCATACAGAAAACATGAATTTCCACAACACAAACAATTACCAAGAAAGCAAGAAAACACACCAAAGAAACACTTTGCCATAAATTCACCTGAGTGGTTTGAGCTAACAAGAAGGCTGCTGCAGGATGCATTTTCCTGTGGTAGAAAGCCAAAACAATTGTGATAATGTTAACAGCGTAAACGCTGTTTGATCCCGAGTTGGCGAAAATGGTGATCAGCACATGTTCTTTCAAGTTGAAAGGCCCCGGATTCAATGAAAACGACCACTTTGTGAATGGGAATCGGATTGGCTTCTCTGGAAGGGTAGCAGCCATCAACTTTCCAAGAGGGAGGACAAGAATTTGCGCCGAGACCGAAGAAACATACAGCTGATTCTGGCGGTACCCGAAAAATTGGTTCATAAAAGCAAGAACGGAGCATGAAATTATCCCAAGAACCCATGTACGAAATGTCAAGGTTGGCTGTGAAGGGTCATCGGTGGTTGAAACAGTTAGCCTAACTTGCTCAATTGGGTTGTCATTCACTTCATCACCTGCAGCATGAGCAAATTGGAAACATTGCAGAGTGAATTTCTAACAACAAATTGCAACTCTTCAAAAGGAGAAACTTTTCAAATCAATTATCAAAGAACCCATGTACGAAATGTCAAGGTTGGCTGTGAAGGGTCATCGGTGGTTGAAACAGTTAGCCTAACTTGCTCAATTGGGTTGTCATTCACTTCATCACCTGCAGCATGAGCAAATTGGCAACATTGCAGAGTGAATTTCTAACAACAAATTGCAACTCTTCAAAAGGAGAAACTTTTTAAGCAAAGTAGCAATATCTCATTCAAATCAATTATCATGGCTCTGTCAACCCATTATTGATGTCATTCAAGAACATTCAAACACATTTCATCACATATACAAGAAACACCAGGAGAATTTCATAACTGAAATGGGATCCAATCCAATCTTGACATAACCAATTCTGCATAAACATGCTGAGAGTAAAACAGAGGAATTCCAGAGAGAGATACAAGGAGTAGAACTAGCTTAGAGGGACTTACCAATTACATCAAGATCTGACTGAAGCTTCCCAGGCAACTTTTCTTCAGGAACTCCATCCTCAACATAAGCTGCCATCTCTCTCTTTCTCTCTCACTTTCTCTCTCCTGGTAGAAATAAGGACAGCCAACCGCTCAATGACTGCAAGCACACATCACTAATTTTATACACAAGCTACTTGGTTTGTTGTTTACTTAAGTTTTGAGGTGCACAAGCTTGGAATGACGTCCAGGCTGGGTGCTTTTAGAAATAAAGCAATGCTGGTAGTTTCTTTTTCAAGAAACCAGTTTTTTTGGCCTCAGCTCTGGTGTGATGATGCACAAAAGGGTCAAAGACACAGCCTTTTCTGCTATATCCTGTTGGTTGTGATCTTATCATGCATTTATAGCATGAGCAATTTGACTTCCGAAATGAACTTGTGCGTATGTGAATTTTGGAAGGATTCTACTGCATGTTCTTGTATAAAAGACAAATCTTCATGTGCACAAAATGAAAAGGAAAATGAATCTAGACTTCTTCTTGGCCCCCACCTAACGGAAAAATGAACCCAAAAGAAAAAGGTAAGTGAAAAAAAAAATTGATTGTTGTGATTCTTCTAGGTCTTCTTTTCTTTATATGAAAAATATGATTTTGTATACCAGAAAATAATGTATGAAAAATATGAAACAGTGGCGACTTGTGTGTTGACAATGAGTGATCTGGACCTCCAATTTTGGGGGGATGACAGCTATGCGAATTAATATCAGCCAGCGGTAGTTGGCAAAATGAAATTATGGGACTAATTGAGAGCTGTCAATAACTTACAAGTCAAGTGATGTTGAGCTCATCCAGTCAAGTTGTTTTTTTCTTATCTTAACTTATATAATTTAAAATTGTTTATATGTATTTTTAAATTTGGTTTTTTTTTATCACTAATGGTCCTTGAGGTTTGCAAAATTATCACCTTTTGTCCCTAACGTTTTTTTGTGACATTAATGGTCCTTAACGTTACCCTCCACACATCAAAATGGTTCATGCCGTTAGCTTCCTTTAAATTTTCTGTTACATTGCTGATATGGCACATGTGTGGAGCCAACACATCCAATGGTATAGAGCCACGTGGCTTTAAATAAAATAAAATATATTTTAAATATTTTAAAACTTAAAATACATTTATAAATAAATAAAAACCATGCAACTACCCTCAACGGTGTCCAAATTGTCAAATAGGGTTCAGTGGCAAACCCTTGGTTAATGGATAGCTGCTTTTTTTTTTTTCCCTAAAAAAATTTAAATATTTTTAAAGTGTTTTTTAAGGGATTTTAAGTTTTAAAAGTTATTTTATTTTATTTACAGCCATGTGCCTTTATACCATTGGATGTATGGGCTCCACACATGTTCCACGTCAGCTCCACACATGTGCCACGTCAGCAATTTAACAGAAAATTGGACAGAAGTTAATGACATGAACCATTTTTATGTGTGAAGGGTAACGTTAAGGACCATTAGTGTCACAAAAAAACGTTAGATACGAAAGGTGATAATTTTGCAAACCTTAGGAATCATTTGTGATTTTTAAAAAAACCTTTAAATTTTGTGGAAGATATAGCACTGGATGAGATGTGAGTTTGTGACTATTCAAACGTGGACGATTCTTGTCCATAAGATATGAGAATTGAAGTGGAATGATAATCCAATCCAATCCAAAAGGGCATTTTTTTACTTCACATTCAATAGTCAACTTTCACTCGTGCGTGCATAGACGATTGATCACGTAGTAGTAAAATTCTTAATTCAATGGGTGACTGAAGCCTCGCCGGCAAGTTGGCTTGAGAGACCCCATCCTCCAAGTAGCCTGTAATTTTCCTCTCTAGCTCCTTAGACTAAGAATATTGGCTGCATTATTTAATGTGTATATTAATTTTTGTTTAGTTTTTGCAGTATGTGGACAATGCAATTTACAAATAAAGCCATGCCAGTACGTAGTTTCTTTTCCGGAGAAATCAGATGGTTTTGGGCTAAACTCTATGGTCTCTGCGGCACACAGCCATGTAAGTTTGTGACGCATCAAGAAGATGAAAAAACAAGGAGGAAAGGTTTGAAAACTGAATTTTCATTTCACTCATTAAAGACTACTTCTAACTATTTTATTTTCTAGCCGTACACAAAAGTGGTCCGTATTTTTAAGACTCTAAACAAAAATGGTTACAAGTCTTTAAAATGCGGCTAAAAAGATGAAAAATCAACCAAACTGATAGAGCATTTCCACTTAGGACCTTTTGCCCTCTTGAGCTGAAAAAACCTCTCCACCAATGCATTCTAGCCCGCCCAGGATGTGGGCTCCATCAATACTGGGCAAGCTCGAAGGAAAGATCAGTCCCAAGCCCAACTGCGGGCGCTGAAGTCAGCAAAGAAAAAAAAAAGGTAAAGAAATAAAAAACAATTCTGAAAAATTACCAAAAAATTCAGAATTTGTTTTAAATACATACCTAGCAATATTTTATTTATTAATCTCATACATATAAATAAAATTAATCCTATGTGAATAGTAATTGACTTTGGGTTGCTATGGCAATAGGTGGAAAAACACAAATAAAATTGCTATGGCAGACACTATTCATGTGAATAGTAACTGCCCTTACCTCCTCTTGTCTTTTGTCATGGCAAATGGGTGGAAGTGCTCTTATAACTCTAAAAAGGGAACGATAAATAATGGAAATTTGGTTCTTTTATGGGCTCGGTTTGAGTTCAAACCAATTTTTATGAGTCCCACTCATTTAGATGAGACTTATAAAACACCATATATTGGACTATTGTCCAATTTAATAAGGGCTTGTTTGGGAGTGACTATGGATAGGTCAATAATCACTTTTATGGAGAATCACTTTTTCATATAATCACTCTAAGTGATTTTATGGATAAGCACATGGGAGATGCTTCTCCCCATAATCACTTAAAATCGTTTAATGTGATTATATGGAGCAACACGTGGGAGATGTTTCTCCCCAAAACTCACAAACGAGCCTTCTATTTCCAATATTTATAAGTTCATTAAACATTGATTAGGACATTAGTCTAATTTAAACGAAGAATGTGATACTTTCTAGAAGTGAAACAAAAATAGATATTGCAATCGATGTGTAGTCAAATCTTTGTGGAAGTCGGCACTCCACTAGTGTGGGACATCGTAGCCATTTAAACGTTGAGGACTTCTTGCCCATGATTTGGAGTGATTTTGGATATAGATGTAAGTAACATTCATATGAAGTGAATTGGATTGATTGATATTTTGGAAAATGAGATTCATGCTAGCTAGCATGATGTTTCTGTCTAGACTAAACCTATGTCGTTTTAGTTTTTCCTTTTTGTTTTGTTTTACAAATTAGATGGTTTTTGAACTTTCTAAACCAATTTGTTCCCATTAAAAAGAGAAAAAGAAAAGTGTTCAAACATGAATTTATATGCAGTGCAGGAGACTTTGCAAGAACCCTAAATCACGTACATGTTAAGTTTTGGAACAACCCACCTTCGGAAATGATCTATTCTTCTCATTCAAGATATCGACATGTAAACGTTATTCCGCTAATTTGAATACTTTATAGTACAACCTTTGGAGTTGTTCACCCTTTTCTTGACATTGTATTCTCGACATTTTTATATTATAATTCTCAAATTATTGTCCTCTTTTTAGATTTATATATGAGTTCATGACAATTTATAAATTTATACACTAATTCAAACAAATCTTACTAACTTTTCGTGAGTATACAATTAAAACCAAAACACTACTCGCAAAAAGCCCAACTGACGCCAAAACACCCGTGGAAACCCTTAAGCTTCTATTCCATCTCTCTCACACATACTCCTGACACAGTCTGCTCTGGTGTGTGATGCAAAAGGTAGAATAAGATATAGATGATTTAACAAAAGAGAATCTCAATCAGTGTGACATCCAAACGACAAACTGCTTCTTTGTAGAAGCACTTATGTTATAAGCACTACTAGCATAAGTGTTTCAGGAAGAAGCACTCCCAAACAAGCCCTAAGTGATTTTAAGTGATTTTATGAAGAAGCACATAGGAGATGTTTCTTCCCAAAAGTCACAAACGAGCCCTCTATTTTCAATATTTATAAGTTCATCAAACATTAATTAGGATATTAGTCTAATTTAAACGAAGAATGTGATACTTTCTAGAAGTGAAACAAAAATCGATATTGAGATCTATGTGTAGTCAAATCTTTGTGGAAGTCGGCACTCCACTAGTGTGGGACTTCGTGGCCATTTAAACGTTGAGGACTTCTTGCCCATGATTTGGAGTGATTTTGGATATACATGTAAGTAACATTAATATGAAGTGAAGTGGATTGATTGATATTGTGGAAAATGAGATTGATGCTAGCTAGCATGATGTTTATGTCTAGACTAAACCTATGTCGTTTTAGTTTTTTCCTTTTGTTTTGTTTTACAAATTAGATGCTTTTTGAACTTTCTAAACCAATTTGTTCCCATTAAAAAGAGAAAAAGAAAAGTGTGCAAACATGAATCATTTATATGCAGTGCAGGAGACTTTGCAAGAACCCTAAATCACGTACACGTTAAGTTTTGGAACAACCCACCTTCGGAAATGATCTATTCTTCTCATTCAAGATATCGACATGTAAACGTTATTCCGCTAATTTGAATACTTTATAGTACAACCTTTGGAGTTGTTCACCCTTTTCTTGACATTGTAATGAAGTGGAATACATTCTCGACATTTTTATATTATAATTCTCAAATTATTGTCCTCTTTTTAGATTTATATACGAGTTCATGATAATTTATAAATTTATACACTAATTCAAATAAATCTTACTAACTTTTCGTGAGTATACGATCAAAGTGCTATGAGAATTTGAACCTGAAATCACTAATTTGTAAGTTAATATCTTTTTCAATTGGATTAGATAAAATTGACAAACAATCATTTTATTGAGTGATATATTTATATTTTCGAGTTTTATCGGTGGAGAATGGGTGAGGTGAGTGTTTGTTTTGGTTCATAATCGCCTTGTTTCTAATTCTTCTATGAATACTAATTGAGGGTCCACCCTTTATTTATTTATGAGTCGGTTATCCATGATTGGACTAGTTGTCCATAATGCCAGATTCCACTACCAAAGAAAAATCGAAGTTCGGATTAAAAAGAAAAAAGAAAAATCAAAGTCAAGCATCTCGACCCACCTAAGTCTAGGATCATTTATTTCAGTTCTCACCTTTAACACTATGTGTGTCCCAACTTTGCAAGTGGTACAAAGTTGTCAATAAAAATACTAAACAAATAAATGAGCATGGTCTTGAATATTGAAGGCTAGAGTACTAAGAACATTCACTTCGGTGCACATGTGATTGTCATTCTTAAGCCAACGTCAACACTAAAATAATATTTATATCTATCAACTACTAACAATCACCCACAATAATCATCTCGTGGAAAAAAGTGGACCGCTACATATTAGATATAGGCTCATTGTATCCATCAT